TTTAAAAACCCCCCCCCCCCGCTTTTTGCTAACTGAATGCGTTTCGTAATCGCAAGGACACTTAACAGCCAAATTTTTCAGTCGAAATAACAAATCCAGGTCAGTTCATATCAGATAATGGCCAGGATAGCCGGATAGTGGTAGTCAACATTTTGGAAATTAAAGCAGCTTTACCAACGCACAAGGCAGAGCGCTGGTGGTCACGTGGGCGGCAATCAAAATGATTGCGGCGACCTGACCGAGTTTTACCCGAGTTCACTCTGTGCAAAAACCAACATTGTTCGTACCTTTACTAAGTCAAATTGATTGTTTCTTTTCTTATACCAGGCCACCAATTTAAATCAGTCAAACCTAAGGTGCGTTTGGTGCTAATTGTGGTCTGTTCAAAAGAGCCAATGCGGAGATGTATCCGGTTAATAGGAACAAGATGTGGACGCTTTACTCGATGTATCTGAACCGGGTCTTGATGATCTAAGGTGAGAACCCGGACAGTAGCAGTATTGGCACAATTCGTTTCACGATGATAAACTCTCGATTGGAGTTTGAAGAAAGTTCACTCTGACTAACTTGATTACTGTCGGACGCAAAGATTAGGCTGACTGTCACCGAAAAGGGAATCGGAACAAACATGAACCAACGATACTAGTCAGCCCCCGATGCGACTTGGTTGATACTGCGCTAATGCACATGTTTTCCATGTGAAGCAGTCTTTGTGACCGTGCTGCTGAATGAATATGACTGTCTCTGTGCCCACGACAACAACAACAACAACAACAACAACGGCACGATGTCTGCTATATGACCAATGACAAAAATTGGCATGATGCTCGAGATGTTGTGCGTTTCCTGATCAATCAATGTCCAACAGGAGATTGAATGAATAAACCTCCAAGTTTATCGTATCATCACCTAGGACCACATCGGCCCACTGTTAGTCACGGACAGGTGACGCAGTGAAGATGTTTTCGTTGAATGTGCTTTTAGCCTGGTGCGAAAGCATAGCATCCATCAAAGCAGACTACGCGCCATTATTGAACGCGCAGTATTTGTGGAGAATTATGAAGTGTATGCTGCGGGGTTCTATTAGGTGAATAATGGTTAGTGATACAACTTCCGAGTTGACCTTTGAAGTTACAGCAAGTGACAGATTCCGAAGTTGATCGATCACCTCAGGAGTAAAGTGTTTTATTCACTGTTGCATGTTTTTCACAATTATTTATTATAGCAATATATATATATATATATATATATATATATCAACATTATAAATG